TACATCAAAGGCTTCAAATGTATTCAGTATTATATGAACATGTTTTAATTGGGGTGAGGACATCACATTCTCTAGGGGGGTCCGGGGGTATGCCCCCCCGGGAAGAAATGTTTGAACATTTAAAGTAAAATGCTTCAATCTGGTGCACTTAGAGCACACATTACTAGAGACCTGATCTAGGGGGTACAACTCTAATGGCCCGTCCACACAGCGGCGTGCGTTGAAGCTTGCCGGCGGGCGTGTCTGAAACTCGACCAACAACCAATTACATGAATCTCCCGCCCCTGACATACAAGCAGCGGTTTGATTGGCTAGAGCTTGTACTGGCATATGATTCGATTGGCTGACGCTTCTGCCGTGGCTTCAAAACTTGAACATTGCTCAACTTTTGCAGCGAGCCACGCCAGCAAAGTGACGTCACCCCATTCAAAGTGAATGGTGAAGCTTTCAACGCACGCTGCTGTGTGGATGGGCCGTAAAACACCCATATGAAAAAGATTGGTTTACATTTTAATAATCAAATAAGTATGTGAACATAACCAATAGCAAATAAATGCAACTTATTTTATTTTTTTTGTTCATTCATATCTTATTTTACCTAGTTAACATTTATTTATGCATATTTTTGTATCTCTCAAGTTTTAAACAATATTTTTGGTTTACTGTCCTATAGTATACATTGAAATGATTTCAAACCTGTTTACCCCAATAATTATAAAAGAGTGCCTTGGAAATTTGTTTACATAAATTGCATTTATCTCTCTCGCTCGATCCCACACCCACTTTGGCTGTGAGCTGCGGATGCCTGATAAGCCAACACCCCCCACTTTCATAAATTACAGCGCCCATCGTACAGGGCAAATGAAAAGTGTAACCCGGGGTGAAAAGGGTGTTACCTTGACTTAATTATGAATGCTGTTACATCAAGGCCGAAAATTAGGATGAGCGCAAACAGTCCAAATGTTTTTTTCCCTCCCAGAGCTGCCAGCGCAGCGCCCCCCCCCCAGATCTGGCGCCCTAGGCGACCACCTATGTCGCCTATGCCAAAAACCGGCCCTGACTTAACCTAACAACTTATTTAATTTGTTTTCACAATTACTAATGTCATGTTTTTTTTTATTCTTAAAGAAAATGTCTTTTTTTCTGGCATTCTTCCAGGATTAACAAAAATAAGAATAACATTGCGAACTATCTTTGAAGTAAATGGCTGTTGTTAAACGCTTCCCACATTTACTTCAATCGTACAATAGAAAAGCTAAAAGTACCCAAGGAATACACAATAGAATATATAAAGAATAAATGAAAAATCTCTACAAAAGACCAATATACTATAAAAACAGAAACGTATTGACATGTTGGTAATATACATCAAAAAGGCTTCAAATGTATTCGGTATTGTATGAACATGTTTGAATTGGGGTGTGGACGTCACATCCTCTAGGGGAGACCGGGGGTATGCCCCCCCAGGAAGAAATGTTTGAACATTTAAAGTAAAATGCTTCAATCGGGTGCACTTTGAGCACACATTACTAGAGACCTGACCTAGGGGGTACAACTCTAAACACCCATATGAAAAAGATTGGTTTACATTTTAATAACCAAATAAGTATGTGAACATAACCAATAACCTACCATAGCCAATAGCAATGAAATGCAACTTATTTTATTTTTGTTGTTCATTCATATCTTATTTTACCTAGTTAACGTTTATTTATGCATATTTTTGTATCTCTCAAGTTTTAAACGATATTTTTGGTTTTCTGTCCTATAGTATACATTGAAATGATTTCAAACCTGTTTACCCCAATAATTATAAAAGAGTGCCTTGGAAATATTTATTTACATAAATTGCATTTATCTCTCTCGCTCGATCCCACACCCACTTTGGCTGTGAGCTGCGGACGCCTGATAAGCCAACACCCCCCACTTTCATCACTTAAAGCGTCCATCGTACAGGGCAAATGAAAAGTGTAACCGGGGTGAAAAGGGTGTTACCTTATGATCGGTCATAATAACACAGAATTTGGTGATGATTAAATAGTTTACAGTGAGATTTACTCCCATACTTTTGGCCATTTTTTTGTAGCCTTTATTTAACCAGGTGAAAGCCCCTTGAGATCAAAAGATCTCTTTTTCAAGGGTGACCTGCAGATACTATACTGCCATACTCACGCAGCCCTACAAATGAATTGAGATTTCCAGACAAATGTTCTTTAGCAAGTGTGCAGAGCAGTGTTGATTTAAAAAAGCAATTTGAAGGTTGGATATTTGTAAACCTTTTTTTGTGTATATATATATTCATAATTTAAGATGTAAATGAATTCCAGTTTATTTGTAGTACTTTCTATTTTTATTTTGACATTTGGTGGCATCAATGTCTGCATTTGATACAGATAATGGAGCAGTTGCTTTAGGGCCACAGTGTAGGCCTATATCCCTTAAGGTCAAACAATGAGATCCTCGATCATGTTGATTCGGCCACAACAGAAAAAATTTAAATAAACTCTCGCTCTCTCCAGAGGGGCAGGTCAGCCAAAAAGGCCAAACGGGCCGTTGCCCTGGCAACATTAGCCCGTACCTGTGCACGTCCCTGCACCTATCAATCATCAAACCGTGGGGTCTTATTTCATTACGTGTTGATTTCTATCAACACGTAATGTTGTATCGATGTATATAGAGATGTACTACAGCAAAAGTATTCTCCGTCGGGACTTCCTGGAACAACACCACGCCGTTATCTTGATTCTGATTGGCCAGAAGACATTATCAAAGATGTTCTATTGAGAAGACGATCACTACCTGACAAAAGTTTTCAAAACCGTTTCTAGTCTTCGGTATTCTTGTTTTTGGCGTGAGAATAGTTTGGGCAGCGTGAGAGCGTGAGATTGAGAGTGAAAGCGTGTGTCACACGCCAGATGCGTGAGAGTTGGCAACCCTGCAGTATATTGCCATAAATATGATGATGGATTATCAGTAAAAATGTCTACGTGACACAAAGACATTGGATTAACCTTGAGCGGCGTTTTTATTCCGTTGAACACAACTTTTGATCACAAATCAAAAAAGGTAAGACGTAATTATTGTAATATTTTTTAAACCGGATGTTGTTTACTTTCTCTTTTCTGGCTGATAGCTCCAGGAATTCGGGGTCTACAGTGATGACATTACATGTGTGGAATCTGTGGAGTCTCAGCTTTAATCGGATATCTTGTTTGTGCAATTACGCTCCATGCTAATTCAAAGGCTTGGTATTACTCTTGTGTTTCTTTTAGCTAAAAATGGTTCACATTATCAGCTGAGTTTCTTACCGTTAAAAGGGTATGGAACATTAATAGTTTCATAGATGTTAAGAAGCCCTGAGACATAGTCTCGTAAAAAAACGGTGGGAGGGGTCCACTGGGGGGAACCTCGGGCTTAAGAGGTTAAAGTAATTTCTCATTCAAAAATAGCAGAAAATACTGTATTCAGATTTGTATCTCAATTATGGAGATTTTACAGATTTTCTCAGTTTTATATCTTTTTTTAACGGAATTCCCTTAGGTTTTTGGACTGACAAAAAATACATTTAAAGATAGTGCCATGAACTTTGAAAAACTGGAATAAACTATTTGAACACTTTTTTGGACTTTAGAAAGGCCAAGGGAACAATAATGAAATAATCATTATTTTCAGCCCGATGTGCGTTGGATGCACCGTTAAGGTAATTTAAGTCCAATAACAATCGACAATACTAAGCGGTGACATAACACTTCCTATAATCTGTGTAAAACAATTCTTGTTAACATTGAAGAGTCCAATTAGGGCCAATTTTGATAGCATGCAGCTATTATCATATTTTTCATGTACATTAATTCTGCTATGTATTGTGCTATGTAAGGGCTCCTCATTAAAAGACGTAATTATTACCTCAAATCTAACTGTTATAATTCTATTCACTATATCAACCACAGATAAATCAATTGTGCATCCCTCAGACCATGTGGGCTGTGATAATTGAGCTAAAGAGTACTGAACACCAATTCATCAATTATAATTTATACTACATTGTGTCACATGGTTGACTTTCTTCAGTAACAAGATATTTGTTGCCATACTACCAGCAGAGAATGCATCCAAACTACCTACATAGGCTTGAATTAGAATTACATCGATAAGCTTTGGTGAGATGATAAAAACATGAGGTATAAAAATATCTGCAACACCAATCAGCTAAAACGTGTTGCAGCATCAATAAATTCACTGCACGCTGATGACACACACCTCACACTTCTGTAGTCGCTGTGTGTATGTTTACGTGTGTTTACAAATATATGGTAATGACATTACAACGGGAAGTATGCTGACCCGGGGATCAATATCTGTGTGGCATGATTGACAACTGGTCAATTTGATTGATTGGATCGGCTGAATGTGTCCTTGAAATTACTTTGATGACGTTACAAGCTGAGGGACAGACTGAGGGTATCAGCTATCTTTTTACGAGGGTTAAACTCATAACAGACAAATTCACAAAAGCAAGATTTCACTGCTGCTGTTCAAATTAGATGAACAAAAAGAACATGTATCAAAAGACCAGCAAAGAGCAACATGCACCTCTAACTGCTGCATCTCCAGGTACTCCTGTGCTGTTTACAAGTGTTTGAATGAGGTATTATGCATACACTTGCTGCAGAATTGGCCCTTTTCTATGCAAATGAGCCTCATTGCAAAAACAGTTTAATTCCCCAAGATGAGCTTTAATAGCCTCATGGTGTAAGAGTGAAATTATGAGTGTTTTCACAGAGTTGCTTGAAACTGAAGCGCCACCTAGGCTAGAAGTTGTGGTCATTGCTGATTGTAACAAGGTTAGGCTCAAACACATTCATTTTGGGATGCACTGACAGTTGTGTGTCATGTCAAATGAATAAAGCTTGCATCGTTTTCACTCCGTCCCTGATACACACACTTTTTATTTAAGTTCCCATTAAACACGGAATAAAAAACTGAGGGAACACACTCACCTATCAGTGATCCATTCAGAAAGAGAGCCACTCCTAACAGCGTCCCGATGCAGAGGACCAGGATGAAGGGTCTCCGGCGGCCCCATCGCAGAGTGCAGCGGTCACTGGCAGAGCCGATCAGCGGCGTGAAAATGAGGCCGAGGACCGGGCTGAGGAACCACGTCAGACTGTAGTACTGCTCTGGAAGACCTGCACAGACACACACACGGATACGAGTTAAAGACGGAGATGTAGAGAGAACTGTGAACTTCATTTAGAAAGATGCCATAAGATGACCAATAAACCACAGTGATTTCACAATGGATTTGCTCTGTCATCCACTAGGGGGTGCAAGTAACATCCTAATGTACGAGTGAGGTGGATCATTTTTTATTTGATGTTCTTGTGTCTTGTGTGTATTTGGATATTTTTTCATTGCTTATATCCGGTCAACATATTTATCTTTTTATTGTTTGTTTTTTTATTGTCTGTGTTTTTAACTATTGCTGGCCAAGGGACAACAGATTGGAAATCGCCTTTCTGGCAAACTCTGGTGTATTTCAGAAATGTTATTACAGTAATAATGCATTGTCCCTGTCAAATAAAGTGATAAAGTAAACTAAACAAACTGAACCAAACATTACCTCATTACATTAGGATGTAGTTGCAGTACAAGCAACATAAATAAACTGTTGTTTTTTAGTTTGAGAGATTTGATAAAATGCACCTAAAGGAAAAAGGAGACAAGCAATGGCAACCCTTTGCAGGTTCAATGAGTGTCTGTGTGAACATTTGCTCTGGATTATTACAAAGCATTTGTTAAGTATTATAATGTAAAAAAGGTATCCACATCCTATATTGAATACATCGACCTTGAACTACACTGTTGATGTGACCTTTTTTACTGAGCAAATATTGTATTACTTTGAGCCTCATCTTTCCACAGCCGGAAACCAGGTGAGGATTACAAACACGTCGCATGACAGGATCTCAAATTAGGAAGCATACATGGAAATAACCATGTATCTTTAGAAAAACACACACACATACAAACAAGATGCAACAATGGAAAACACTGCTCAGTACACATGCTGTCAATAGTTTGAATAACATCAGACAACACCTTGAACCGCAAACCTTTCAACAACAAAGCCAGTTCTTAATTAAGTCCTTATATATTATATCTTATATATATCCTGCCCGGATGGGGAACAGAAAATTCGCCATCCGGGCAGGATGACACTCACACGCAATTCATTTAGCTGTCACTTAAAAAAGCACATCACTTTTTAAAGACCATTACCTTTGTGGTCCATCATTATTTATGTTACCTTAAAAATATCTTAAAACCGAAGTTATGAAATTGTACACTCATTGTATGGTATGATAACTTTACAAGATAATTCCTCGTTTGTTTTTTGTCTCTTAAATTATTCCAAAAACATTATTCATACTGGTAATAATGTTCTTGCTATTTCTATTGCTACTCGTCGTGAGAGACCGATCTAATGTGCATTTCCACATTAATAAAAATAAATAAACAAGTAATTAATTTGGCCATTCCAAGCCCAGAGAACGAAGCGGAGGCAGAGTCTTTAAGCTGAGTGAAGTCAGCTGAATCTCAGTTAATTAAATCAGGACTTTATCTTTGACTGGCTGTCAACCTGTCGCTTAATTCAGCTCAATACAAAAGAAGACAATAACATGAAATGCCTTTTGGCCGCCACACTATCACTATCTTTAAAGGAATGGTATGCTCATGACACTCATTTAATTTTTTTTTATCATCCGATAAAACAGACCAGTCTCTCTCTTTTTTTTTTTTAATCCGATGACATTATCAGTGATTTTAAACTGATTAATTACCGAAATAACATCAGCACTGTGGGCGGCGCCATTTTACCGGACGTGACGTAAACCATGCGTTTGGTTTCGAGGACACGTTGATGTTCATGTTATTTACTGTAGTTACTCTCTTCAAATATGCCTCATTGTATCGCGAAACATTGCCACAATTCTGATAGGAACAATCCACGGAATGCTCGGTTCCATCTGTTGCCAAAAGGTAAGCGTAGGAAGTACGTTCGGAGGCAGTGGCTAGCGAAATGTGGCCGGCCCGAACCGAAAGATCCACAGGCATGTATGCAGCGAACATTTCAAGTTTCCGGACGACTACTATGAGTATGATAAAACATAACATGGGATTTATTGAACAACCATTACTTAATGGAGATGCAGTACCATCGGTCTTTCTGGTGTCATCACCGACCAGGACACCAGTTCGGCCAGTTGAGAAATCGCCCTCTGCAAGTGTGAAGCGACGGAGGACCAGAAGTAGTGCTCGGAGTAAGAATAAGGTATGTTATGGCGCATTTCCATTGCAGCAGGTAGCCCCGTTTAAACGTCCTTTATCGTCCAGGCCAGGCCAGTTTTTGGTGGCTTTTCCATATAGCGTAGTACCGGCTAGTGGGTATTTCCCCCCAGTTTTTCCGGCCCCATAAAATCGTATGCTAAACTAGAGAGGGAATCGCTAGCAAGGGTGGTACTACATGCATACATATCTAGTAATCAAAATCATTGTATCTACTAAGTAGGCTCGAACCTGTATGGCTGAATTCCCCCATCCAATCTCTTCATATTGCTCAAAACTTCGCCATGTTTTCGTGTGTTTACAAAGTGAACGCATGGATGACGTCACGACCATCACGTGACTACTGAAAATGGGCAAAATGGCAGCGGCCTGACTGAATATACAGGTTTTGATAAAAAAGAGCTATAAAATCATTATTTACCGGGGAATATCGCTGATTTCTTCAGGGTATGGTTTAAACATAATGTTTCACTAAATACTGAAGTTTTGATTAATTATCTAATGAGTGGAGCATTCCTTTAAGAGACAGACCATTTAAAAAAAAAAACTGGAGTCTCACTCTTGATAATGCCTCCAACCTTAGTTGCCTCATATAATAACAATAATAATTCATAGCATTTATTTGAAAGCGGTAACATTGCATTATATTACATACCGTATATTGGATATGTTATACATCAATACTGTGGACAATACCCACAGGAGCAATTTAGTCTGTTGTGTCTTGCCCAAGGACACAACAGTATTGAATGGAGTTCCCCAGCTCCACTGATCTGAGGATCAATGCAATATATACAATAATAATGATCAATAGCTTTACCTCAAGTATATGTTTAAGCACACATACGCACACTTTTTATTAAAACTTCTATAATGCTAATGGAGGAGAGAAAGGGCTACTTATTACTGCAGATCAATACGAGGAAGATGCCACTGATATTTTATTCCTCAGTAAAGTAAGGAGCTGGAAAGATGGATGGAAGTAAAAGGGAAAGCCAGTATATGGCAGCTAATTTGATTGAGGCTTAGGATTGTCTAACGCATTTTCATATTTTTCAAACAGACCTCTGATATGACACGAACATCAATAACTGAGTGCCATAATATCTAATTATCAAGAGCATTTGTGAAATGTCCCCACTTCAAGCACAGATCCATTATGAGACCTTTGGATCAGTAAAGTTACTTAACACAGAGTCTGAGGTGAGATCAGCTGACTAAATGAGGAGACCCAAAGCTCATTCAGTTGGTAAATTCAGGAAAAGAGTACATGACTCAACTCAGTTAGTGTCTCTGGGTGTGATGTTTTCAGAGCTGTTGTCAGCATTTGATATTTTCTGAGAGAAGGAGTTTTAATTTTTTTTTTGGTGTCATGTGAAAATCTCCCTGCTGCAATCATGGTCATTTTCACCGCTGTTGACAAATCACATGTTTCCCTACAGCCAGGAGTATGGTCTGTAGACCTCTCACAGTCTCATGTTGTTGACCTTCTGACCCTGAGTCAGAAGGTCAACAACATGATTTCTAATGATAAAATAACAACTCTGTAACGTTGTGATTTAGATAAGTATTTTCCTGTCCCTATAAATCATATTTGAAAGTCCACTACACAAAAATTGTCACTAATGCTAACTACACTAGACAAAACACTGTCTGACAAGTTTAAGGCATTTAACACCCTATGAAACCAAAGCATTGATTTTTTTTTTGGTGTAAAATGTTTTGTTTCCTTTAAAGTTTTTCAGCAAGCCTCTGATCGAAAAAATTACAATTACGATTTATTGTTGGTATTTGGAGGAGTTTTTGAACATTTTTCAAAAGTTCAGCATTAAAGGTGGGGTAGGTAATTTTGGAGAAACCAGCTTGAGTGCGCTAGAATTTGAAAATACACAGCCGGAACAAATCTGCCACTTCCTTACAGAGCCCCTCCTCCAACACACACAAACGCGCACATGACCAATGAGGGCACGAGATAAGTTTGTGCACAGATGGAAGGCTGACAGGCAGGTAGGCCATCCAGTTATTTTAGCCGGGTCGGCTAAAATGATTGGTCGTGCTTTTTACAGTACTACCGCTTCCACAGATGAATTTTTGTTATGGATTTTGTGTCAAAGCACTTGACATATTCATTGCTATCGGGATGTTAAGAGCATTCCATGCAATATAACAAAAAGTGTATCTCGAGCCGGTTTCTCAAACTTACCTACCCCACCTTTAATATGAGTGTTATAGATTAAAAAAATATGTGGGAAATGGTTAAAAATGTAGAGAGACATGCTGTTTGAAATAGTATGTTTTACAGCATAACTATTTATCACCAAACATTTTTGCCATGATACAGTTTAGAGTTTGCGGTGTTGGGATGTTTAGTGCTTGTCTACATTATATCAGAAATATAACTGAAAACCGTTTCATATAGATATTACAAGGACACAACTTTGGGCCTCAGATGATTTTTTACTTTTAAAAAAACTGTTTTAATAATTATGATTATCGCCTTTAATTGTTGGTTGGGAGTAGGCAAAGGACAAGAAACCCGGAGGCAAACACATAAAGGTACATGATGTACATCAGTAGCATTGTGTCACGTTGGCCTCTGCCCTCACTTCTCAGGTCCTGCACAACTGTCGACCTCTGAGTTTTTCACGAGCGGGCCATAAACAAGGCTTGACCCCTGTCGCCGTGGGGACCAGGTCTTGGGAACCCTGTCACTACGGAGACTCCATCACCTTCACTTCCTGGCTCCTAATAACACTGTGTCATTCACACCAGGCTTCCTGTTGTGAGGTTTGTTCAAACTAAGGAAAGCTTTGTTTCGCTCCCTTTATTCCCACATTTA